CCCGCCGCCGGGCTCGTGATGCGAGGGCGGGGAGGACGCCCAGACGACCGGCCTCCCGCCTTCTATCCCTCCGCCGGGCACGGGAAGAGGCCCCGGTGCGATCCGTACCCCAGCCGCCGTTCTGGCACAGAGAACGAAGTCTTATCCCCCAAGCGTACCCGATCCCTTCCAAATGCCGTGCGCGGGCGAGCGCACCGTCGGGGTGCACACACATCGGCCCTAGAGGACCCGTGCCCAAACGCCGGACCTGTTGGCACATGGCGTTGTCAACCTGAGCTGGGAAGCTGGCTTACCGGAAAGAAGCAACCTATAACCTTGACCGCTACCACCACCCAAAAACGTTGGGAGAAATCCTGGTAGAAGAGATGGCGGTCAATTCGCTGTTCCCCTCAATTCAGCCTTTTTAGTCTCCCAACATAGTATCAGTGCTCATTGGTTACAACCCTCCTGTTTTCCCTGGACCCCGAAACACAAAGTCCCAATCTCTCAAAAGCTTGCTGAGCCAGACAGCTGCTTCCCACTCAGGGCAATAGAGATAAGGGCAGGGATCCATTGCCAGCCATTGGGAAATACTTACCCTTGACCTGAATGACGTCCCGGACTTTGCCCTTGTGCCCTAGCACATTGTCTCCCCACCAGGTCTACCTTCTGACTTAAAGGCTCAATACATTCATGATGTTCCCTGATTGCCTTCTCTGGGCATCTCCAGCTTCCTGTGCTTAATCCCCATGCAGTGTTAGTCATTCAGTTATTGAATCAAGAAGCACTGTCTACTCGTGAATGCCAGGCACTCTTTTGAAAAATAATTTGTGTAAGTGGCAGGCAAATTGTGGGTGTGGGATAAGCAACAGTTAACAAGAGCCCCAAGTCCTTTTTCTCCTGTGGCATCAGATCTAGTGACCACATTTTTGTATTCTGTTTCTGAATCACTCTCTTCTACCTGACTTAGAACTCCTGGAAGACAGGGACAGATGTGACTCCTCTCTGACCACCCAAGCCCTGGCACTTGTTTAAAGAAAACTTGAGTTTTGAATTGGGTAAATCACATCGCCTTGGTTCACACCATCCACTGTGTCCTGAACCAAGGGGTTTGAAGAGAGGTCACTAGAGTCAGTAGCTTGTATGACTCCTCACATCAAGATTCTGATGCTTTGTATGTTCTTTGAAGGCTCCTGAAGGGTAGGAAGTAGTTCTAGCCTGTTCCTGGAGCTGGTAACTTGAACTACAGGTCTCAGGTGACAGTAGCAGCCTCAGCATCAATAATTAAGAACAGGCCCAGCCTCTTGCCTCATGATTATTCCCCACTCCAAGAACTCCCCCTCCTGTCCTGCACACTGGTCTTCCCCAAACAGGAGCCTCCAACGAGGTAAGCAGGGCCCTTGAGCGTGGGTTCCCTATCATACCATCTCAAGCTCAGCATCACTCACCTATTCACACCCACTCAAACGTTCTCTCACCTTCATTTTCAGCTTCCACCACAGGCAGGGTTCTTTCACGTCTGATCTGGAGGAGGGAGAAACTGGGCTGGGGCATAGGAAAAGGAGAAGGTACCCATCCCTCTTAAGCCAAATCCACTGCCACAGAATGGATTCTAATTCACAGAATACGGTTTCCAAGGCTGTACATCTTTACCGGAGCAGATAGTCTCATCTTTCTCCCACAGAGCATATGGTAGATCTGAACAGCCAACCTTGAGATCAGCAATCCGATTCGTACCCAACAACACCATTGACACATCTTCCCACCCCTTATAGGGGGGCCATAAAGAGGAGGGCTGGTTGAGTAAAAGATGTGTGATGTGTGTGTGTGTGCACGTGTGTACATATGTTTGTGAGGAAGTCTTGATTAGCCAGACAGACAGGTGTAGGGAATGGTAGGAAAATTGTGGGTGTGGGTTTCCCTCCTCCCTTCTATCTCACCTCAGGGCCCCAGTGGGGACCATGTCCCCTGCCATTGCGCTGGCCTTCCTGCCACTGCTGGTGACATTGCTGGTGCGGTATCGGCATCACTTCCGGCTGCTGGTACACACAGTCTTGCTAAGAAACCTCCGAGACTGCCTGTCAGGGTTGCAGATCGAAGAACGAGCCTTCAGCTATGTGCTTACCCATGCTCTGCCTGGGGACCCTGGTCACATCGTCACCACCCTGGACCACTGGAGCAGCTGCTGTGAATACCTAGGCCACATGGGGCCTGTCAAAGGTCAGTGTTCCCTAGCCTCCTGCTCCAGGAAGCCTCCCCAAGATGAAAGAGAGGCGATCTAGGACCTGCCCTTGCCTTACTGTGTAACTGTATAAAATCAGACAGGTTTTTGTTGTTGTTTTTTCTCATTTGAAATGAGGGGGCTGGGCTTTGTCATCATTCATTTGGTTAATATTTACTGCCACCTCTTGCTTGGTGGCCAAAGTGATGAATGAGCCCTACATGCTAGCCTCAACAAGGGCACAGTTCAGGGGAGTAGCCATCACAATACATATCCCATTGGTTGGCAATTGTATGGGTCCAAGTCTCTCTCTCCCACCACATAGGGCAGCCGTCTGCCTAGATTTACCTGAGATACAGCTTCCAACATGAGTGCTGTTTAAGAGTGCTAGCTAAGAAATCCTTCCAAGTTCAAGATCAGAAAGATAGTCACTGAAAAATACGAGTGAAATGAGTAGGTCTAGCAAAAGCATCTTGGGCGCCTGGGCCACTTTTGCCTGCACCCAGCAATGATCGAACTTAACCTGGAAGGGCTGTATTTGTGAGTTGGCCAGGCAGGCACCGATGGGGTGGGGCGAAGAGAACCAACCACATATATAAATGTGGTGTGAAAGATGGTCAGCATAGCTGATTCTAGATGAAGTTGGTCGTTTGGGATGGCTGTGGTATAGGCTATAGTTGGAAGCCTGGAGACTTGAGGCTGGAAAGATAGGATCAGCTTTTAGGGAAACCCTGAATGGTACACTGAGGATCCCGACTTCAATTTCAAGGGCCATTAGAATCATGGGAGCCAAAGTATAATGCGGTAAGATTGGTTTAAAAAATTCCTGGTGGCTGGTGTGAAGACCAGACTGGAGAGAGCAGGAGACCATGGGTCAGCTGGGGCTAGGGTCCAGGAGAAAAGTGACGCTCAGTTGGTTTCAGGCCATGGAGGCAGGTAGGCATTTGAGATCTTTCTCTCAAGGGCCCAGCAGCCCCTCCCAGGTCTTCTGCAACAGCTCTCCCCCCACAGGTCAGATCCTGACACGGCTGATGGAGGAGAAGGCCCCCGTCTGTGTGCTGGAACTGGGCACCCAATGTGGCTATTCCACGCTCCTTATTGCCCGTGCCTTACCTCCCGGTGGCCGCATTCTCACTGTGGAGCGGGACCCACGCACAGCAGCTGTAGCTGAAAAACTCATCCGCCTGGCTGGCTTTGACGAGCACATGGTTAGTCCCACCTCCCCAAACCTCACTTCTCATGCACAGCAGGCTTTGCCTTTTGAGGGGGATCCTGTTGAGGGAGTAGGAAGCAACTGCATTTGGGGGCCTTGACCTGGAGGGAGGATGTCTTGTCCCAAATCATTTGCACATACTTCCTACTGGGTGACAGAGCAGCAGTTAAGAGTAGTATCAGGTGTGTGGCAGGGGAAGGTCCAAGCCTTAGCTTTGCCTCGTTAGCTGTGTGGCTGAGGGCAGAGCACTGTCCCTTGCTCTTGGCATCCTCACATCACCATGGGAACCGCAGGGCTGGTCCTGACTTGGGTCATGGGATGAGAGGGCACATGAGACTCTTCTGGTGAGAAGCCAGATCCTGTGGGGCCCAGGGGGGAGGGGTGCAGTCCTCCTGCCTCACCTCCAGCTCTTCCCACACCCACAGGTGGAGCTCATCGTGGGAAGCTCAGAGGAGGTGATCCCACGCCTGCGAAGCCAGCATGGGCTAAGCCGGGGGGAGCTGGTGCTCCTGGCCCACCGGCCCCGCTATTACCTGCGGGATCTGCAGCTCCTGGAGGCCCATGCCCTGATGTCAGCCGGTGCCACTGTGTTAGCTGACCACGTGCTCTTCCCTGGCGCACCCCGCTTCCTACAGTATGCTAAGAGCTGTGGCCGCTACCGTTGCCGTCTCCATCACACCAGCCTCCCAGACTTTCCCACCATCAAGGATGGCATAGCCCAGCTGACCTACGCTGGACCTGGCTGAAGTCCAGGCCCAGGGATTCTTACTGCTGTTCCTCTGTCGCCCAACAAGGACCTTCTTCACACATCCCTCCCCTTCCCAGTTTGTGGTCTGACGCTTGTTGGGCTTCATGTCCCAGGGGCTAAGGTCTAAGGTCTCTCTGGCTGCTGGGTCCCTCTGGTCTCCTTCCTTCAAGAGTGCATGCCATGGAATGAGAAGCAATAGGCCTGTGCCCCCAGCCCAGCTATGTCAATTTGCTGGTGACTCTTGGAGAACCCCTGCCCGCCTCACCTCTGGGATTTAATCCTCTCTCCTGACAGTACAGGAGGTGACCAAAGGACCTCCCAGCCTTCCCTCAGAAAGCTATAGTGGGTGGGATCACAGGAGAGAGCAGATGGTGGGTTAGATGCCCTGTAGGAGGGGCTGGGTACAAGCTGGCCAGAGGAATGGCAGAGGAGACCCCAGCCCACCTGGTCAATTAGGTCTTACCTGGCGTCCCTTCAGTGCCCTCCCCCAGAGCCCAAGAGAAGACACAAAGGTCCTCTAGGCCTCACCAACAGAACAGAATAGAGACGGGGAAAATATCGATCAGTCCTGTGTCTTTATTAAAGAGAATTAGAACTAGACTAGACCGGGCAGCCAAGGGGAGACGTACTGGCCAGGAAGATGGGGTGGGCTCAGGCCTGGGAATTCAAGGGCAGGCCAATGACCTGGGGAAGGCCAAGGAGACCAGGTGTTGGCAGCAGCTGTGGAAGTGTCCAAGGTTCAGCTTTCAGGTACTGGGACCCCCAGCTGGTTCAGCAGGGGGTTCAGGGTGGGTTGGGCTGGTTAGAATGTCACCAGGGCACTCCTGCTCTGTGTGCCTAGATCATCCACTGGTCTTGATCCTGCTCGTTACCTTCCATGTCCACCTGAGGAGGAGCCAGGTGTGGGTGAGCAAGGGCCTCACCCACTCTGCCTCCAGCTGAGCCAGGATGTCTGTATCCCTTGGCCACCAAGAACAATGAAAGGTCAGGGGAGGGGGCTCGAAAGTCCTATGTGCACACTCCTACCTACCTCATTGACCTCTCCATCGTCAGGTGACTCGTTGTAATCATTCATCTCGTCCATGTCCTGCATATCCTCATCATCCTCTGAGTCTTCCTCGCTATCTTCATCATCTTCGTCATCTTCTTCTTCCTCATCATCATAGTGCTGGTGCGGCAGGGGAGAGCCTATGGACCTCATAGGTCTGCTCAGACCAGTTTAAGGGCTGGCCTACTTACAAGCCTCTCTCTGGGACCAATCACTGTCACCAAAACTCCCAACCCTACCCACCTCAGGTCTAGCAGGCTGGTACATGTTCTGCAGGACTTAGTGCGTGATTAAGAGACCAGCCCCTCCCCGGCCCCAATGCCCACCTCCTCTAATGCCTATTTTACCCAGATTTTTCTGAGGCCAGAGGTAAGACCTTTGAAATGAGAGCAGAGTCCTGGCGCATTCTAGGCCCATCAGCCCTGTCTGCCGGCACCACTCACCTCCGAGGCTGGCTTGCCAATAGGTACCAGGTTGTTGTCCTTTTCTGCAATGCTCTGGAGCTATGGCCGAAGAGAGAGGGGAACAGGGCCAGGGCCAAATCAGGGCAGGTCAAGAGCATGGCCCTCAAGAAGATCCCCTAGTGCTGATACCTCCAGTTCTCAGGAAGATCCAATCCCAGTTTTTCCTGTCATCTACCATTTACTTATGAACTTCGTCCAGCTACTGAAACTTTCTGGGCTTTTGTTTCTTCACAGGATTATGGCGAGGGTGAGGTGGGAAAATATCAGTCTAGAACATAGGTTAGGTCCTCAATAAATAATCAAAATGATTCTTCCCTATGCTTTAGGATCATAGGCCTGGGCTGAGTGTCCTAAGCCTGGGGTTTCCAGCTAGCCTGAAGATCCCATCATCCCCAAAGATGAGAGCCTAGGAGCCTGGGCCCCCAGCTTGCTTCTCCTCAGCTCAGGGCTCAGAGCTTCTCCAAGTCAGGTCTCCAGAGCAAGACCGGGGCGAGTTCAGTGGAGGGGTGTCTGACTGAGACTCGCACTACAGTGTCTCTACCAGGCTAATCCTCACTCACCCAGGCCTGATGCTGCTGTTCCTGCTGTTGCAGTTCAGTCTCCTCCACACAGGGCCGATCCAGATTAAACCAGAGCGTCTCAGTCACACGGGGGAAGAGTGAGGGAAACAAAGTAGACATGGCTCCTAGACTGAGGGAAAGGATCAAGTAAATCCAGTTCTCGGGTGGGGGAGGTGGGGGTGGGGGGCTGTTACTTGATATGGGGAGGGGGTAGCAGGGAAGGCAGCAGGGAAGCAGCTCAACCCTGGGGGAGTCAGGCAGGTTCCAGTTCTGGCTCTATCACTTACTGGCTATTTAACCTTGGTCAAGTCACGCCACCAACCTCTTGGAGCCTCAGCTACCTCATCTGTAAAATGGGGACAATAATTAGTATACCACCCTTTGTGTTACTCTGATAATTCCATAATAGATTTTTAAAGTACTCTGTAATCTATTCAAGGAGGAAAGCGAATGAGAGGCTGGTGTAGAGACAGGAATTCAGAATGGAGAATGGAATTAAGAAATTATCCGTAGAGCAGGGGTCTCTACTGCCTCTTCTCTCTAAGCTGGCCCATCTTGGGACATTAAACCACCTGTCTTATGAACCACAACTAAAGGGGGAGTACCATGCGTGGGCTGTGTTTCAGCTAGACATTTTGGAACAGGTAGATAAATTAACGTGTTTTCTTTAAATAAAAAAAAAAAGTAAATTCAGCTCTGATTGAGCGGCTGAGGGAGCCCATCAGAGAGGTCCGAGTCAGAATTCAAACCCTTTGGCCCACAAAAGTGAAAGCTCAGGCTGCTGGCCACACAGTGAGCAGGAGCTCCGAACTCCCGCTGAAAAAGGGATCCAGGCCGGGCACTGGGGGGTCCGAGCAGGAAAGAAGAATCTACGTCTAGCCCTGCCTTTGCCCTGATTCATTTGACCGATCGGGGAAAGCCGCTTCTCTGGGCCCGTTTCCAGCTATCGCCACGGGAACCAAGACCCACCCTCACCTCCCAGACGTGAGAGATTGCGGCCCTCGCTCCCCTAACCCAACCCACCGCCGAGGAGCCACCGCCCATTCTCCTAGGGAGTTTTGTTTGCTTATTTAATGATCGCAGGGTTGACCAACCGGGAGAGGGCAGGGGCGGGACCCGGGCAGGAATTTGCCCTTCTAGGGTTGCTAATCGCGCAGGGAGCGGGGTCTGAAAATGGCCAATAGACTGTTAGAATCGCCAGGTAACAGGAAGTGACGCCAACGAATGACGGGTCTCGTATGGCAGGGTGGGGCTTAACCTCGAGGAAGCGGCCAATGAGCTGTAGATCTCTAAGGGCAAAAGGACGGTGGAGCTCCTGAGGAGACGGGCCATGCGAACTGCCCTTCTTGGGGGAAGGGCGGAGAGAAGGGACAAAGAAACACCCGTCAGCCGGCTTCGGTACTTACCGCGCCCGTCGGCGATAGCCGACGGCGACCCGGAGGCACTTCTATCTGCCTGAGCGGAAGAACCCGCCCAAATCCCGGGTCAAACCTAGGCGGCCTTTGGGTTCCCGTTCCCTCCCCGTCTGACCGGATGTGGCGTTGGGAGAGGAGTTTACCACGCCCCCTCCATGTAACCACGCCCCCTTTAATCTCAGCCATCCGCCTTTCCGCCTGGCCCCGCCCCAACAAACGGCCTCACCTAGCCCCGCCCCTTCATCCCCCGCCTGTAGTCGCTTGCGGGCTCAAGCCGAAAAAGAGCCGCGCTCAAGTAGAAAGGAAATGCTTTGAGAACGATGATGGCCACAAATGTGCTTGTCACGATGGATGGATGGGTGGATGGACTGTGCTAAGAGTTGGTCGAGCCACCAATAAAATGATTTTTTTTTAAATAGGCGCCACCACGACTTGCGAGAAGAGTAGTCTGCTTCTGCCCGAGCCTCTCTGGGTATTTTAAGGGCCTGCTTTCTCCGGGAGATTTACGTTCGGAAATCCTAGGAGTGGCTTTGTCCTGTAGGATGGACTCCACGGCCACGGGCTTTTTGAGTTTGCCCTCTCTGCCTCAATTTCCCTTTGGAGCACATGAATTCACTTATGCCTTCAACAAAAGTCTTTGCCTCCCAATCATATTCCTGAAGCTGGGAATACCTTTAGAAATGCGATCCCTGCCCCCAAGTTTTGACCCTCTACCACGCGGCAGCGTGTACATAGGAGATGAAATGTCTTGGTTATACCTGTTGGTGGTTTAGCTCTGTTTTTAAAAGAATGGAAATAAACTAGAAAATTAGGTGTCACCATAAACTCAAAGCAAAATTAAAATACTTTTAAAAAAAAGCAAAAACAACTTACAGTCTAGTGGGAAGCCAGAGCAGGCAGACCCACGTGTGGTCTGCCACTGTCCACGCTTGTGTGACTAGTCGCCTTCAGCCACAGCACTCTGCTGCTGACGAACTCAGCTGCGCTTCATGGTCAGCCTCATCATCTCTTCCACTCCTTTGCAGATGTCTCTGTCCTAGTAACTTCTGACTCAGCGTCTATTCCCCCATCAGCCCCCATCACCGTAGCAATCATCGCAGTTCCAGTCGCAGTTAAGTTCCACTTAACCAGATAAGTGACCTTTGGCAAGTCAGCCCTGTTTCCTTGTCTCGATTCAGTTCCAAACTCTTTTCGACCCACATCATAATCTCTGCCCAAATTCTTTCTTATCCTGAGCTCACCTTTGAGGGGTAATAGGTGTATAAAAGCATGTGTCCAGGGCACATCACCTGTGTTTATGTTTTAATAACTGGCAGTTCTGGTTCTTATAAAGTTCTTCATTAATGAGTAAAAGTTGCCTCATCCACCGTTTTAATTTATTCATTCACTCATTCGTTCAACAAATAACTACTGAGTGTCTTTTACTATATGCTAGTCACTATTCTAAATAATGAGTATGCTATAATATCAAAAGATAGGAAAAATCTCTATCCCATTGGAATGAGAGAGAAAATTAATATATAAGAGATAGGTTTCAGGTTGTGATAAATACTGAGAAAAACAAGTGGGAGTAACATGTAGATAGGAGGAGGACATTTTCTTTTAGCTCAGGGAGCAAGGAACCCCTCCTCTGGAAGGTGACTTTTGAGGAAAGGTCTAAAGCAAGCGCGGAAAAGAAGGAGAAAGAGAGAGAGGGAGGGACTTCTGCTGACATTTGGAAGGGAGTGTTTGTGGAAAGAAAATAGCATGTGCAAAGGTCCTTGATGATTGGAGCAGTGTCCCCCGGGAAGAGCAATGATGACAGAGAGGCAGCAGGTGCCAGACAGACACAGCAGGCCCTAAGAAGGACTTTGCCTTTGACTTTGCATTGGGGAGCTGGCGAAGGTTTGTTTGCAGCGGATCCACAGAATGTGATTTAAAGCTTTGTTCTGCAAAGGTTTACAAAGCAGTGCAGCTTCCCACTCAACCATCTCTCCACATGGCCTTAATGACATTCTTCCTAAAACATTCTCATGATTTCTGTTCAGGTTGTTTTAGCTCCATTCATCTAGTTCTGACTTACATTTTAACAGAGGCACGCTGGCTGTTCTGTGAACAATAAATTTCAGGGGAACCAGAGCAAAAGAATTGGGGAAACAAGTTGGGAAACTACTATAATAATCTAGAGGAGGCAGAAGTGGCTGAATTCAGATCTTTTTTTTCCGAATAAAAACGGTATTTTCTTTTTCATCATTTTATTGGGGACTCATACAACTCTTATCGCAATCCATACATACATTAATTGTACAAAGCACATTTGTACATTCGTTACCCTCATCATTCTCAAAATATTTGCTCTCCGCATAAGCCCCTGGCATCAGCTCATTTTTTCCCCTCCCTCCCCCCTCCATCCTCCCTCATGAACCCTTGATAATTTATAAATTATTATTTTGTCATATCTTACACTGCCCGACATCTCCCTTCACCCACTTTTCTGTTGTCTGTCCCCCAGGGAGGAGGTCATATGTAGATCCCTGTAATTGGTTCCCCCTCTCTACCCTCCCCTCCCGGTGTATCGCCACTCTCAGTACTGGTCCTGAAGGGATCATCCGTCCTGGATTCCCTGTGTTTCCAGTTCCTCTCTGTACCAGTGTACATCCTCTGGTCTAGCCAAACTTGCAAGGTAGAATTGGGATCATTATAGTGGGGGGGAGGAAGCATTAAAGAACTAGAGGAAAGTTGTATGTTTCATCCTTGCTACACTGCACCCTGACTGGTTCATCTCCTCCCCGTGACCCTTCCATAAGGGGATGTCCAGTTGCCTGCAGATGTGCTTTGGGTCCCCACTCTGCACTCCCCCGAGAACTATATTTTTTTACAGATAATTCCTCTACTGATTCAACACTTTTGCGAATTAAAAAGATAAAACACAAGCCTTAGAACTGGATCACTTGGCCTTTTCTCTTCTCACCTCCCAGTTCAAAATGCTTGCATCTTGTAGTGGCCAGCATTCTCTTGGACCTACAGTTAGGCTCAACACCTTCAAGCCTAAGCACAATCATCTTTGTGGTTTTAGCCTTATTCTGCAAAAGTAGCCTTGTCTGCCCACCATAGCCACTCTGCTTCTGATTGTAGCTCCTCTTTCCATGTGCATACAGGGAATCCTTGCCCGTCTTCTACTGGGTCACTTTGTGATGTTGATGCTTGCCACACTTCTTACAGAAAGTCCTTCAGGTTTTAGGTACATTGACCATCTTCACAGAGATGTGGTCTACGCAGTGTAAACAGGAACTTGAGCGGCTGCATCCTTGTCTTGCTTGCTCGTGCCTAACCGGAAAGGGCCAATCCCTAATATCTTTAAAAGGTAGAGATAGCAGAAGTTGTTGGCAGATTGAATGTACACTATCAGAGAGGAGCCAAATATTTTGGCCTGAACACTTTGGAAGAATGAGGTTACCACTTTTTTTCCTCCTTTTTTTATACTTGTTTTAGCTCCCCACTCCACCCCCCACCCCAACCTCATGCCCCTAGGTAGTTATTAATTCAGTTACCGTCTCTGTAAATTTACCTGTCCTGGATTTTATATACAGAAAATCACACAAAACCAAGCCAAGAAACAAACAAGCTAAAAACCCAACAACAATGACAAAACAGGAAAACAATAGAAAAGAAAGCAGGAAATATTAAAAACTGGAACAACTTTAAAATGGGTCAAAAGGGGAGGCCAAATGATAAGGTTTGACTTTTTTTTTAAGGTGTTACTTTTTAACAAATGGTTTCCCAACAATTGTATTGCATATATAATTCACGGACAGGGCAAGATATGACAAAATAATAATTTATAAATTATCAAGGGTTCATGAAGTGGGGAGCAGGGAGGGAGGGGGAAAATGAGGACCTGATGCCGAGGCTTAAAGTGGAGAGGAAATGTTTTGAGAATGATGAGGGCAATGAATGTACAGATGTGCTTTACACAATTGATGTATGTATGGATTGTGATAAGAGTTGTATGAGCCCCTAATAAAAGGATTTAAATAAATAAATAAATAAAAGGGAAAAAATAATTCACATATCATACAATTCAATAGTTCAATCACGTATAAGATGAGCTGTACAATCATTGCCACAATCAGTTTTAGAGCATTTTCTTCAGTCTTGTACTCATTGTTATTAACTCCCCCTTTTCCTTTCAGCTTCCCATGTATACCCCCAAGGAACCATGAATCCAGCCACTGTCTCTATAGATTCAATATTTTCTGCTTTCTTTTTTTTTTTTAATCATTTTATTGGGGGAGGTGTTACATTTTAACCTAACTATATATACATCTGCCATAATCAACTTTGAAAAGCTCTCTGACAGCCAGGCTATTTACATCCCTGGGAATGTAAAAAGGGAATTCATGGGAGACTTCATCCAAGTGGGGATCCTGAAAATGTATTTTGGACTTCCCCTGTCATCCATAGCCTTTTGCAAACCAGGCATTCAGAACGTAAGCTCTGATACTATTCTCTCTTCTGGATTTGGAGTTTGTTATCTGCAATCCTTGGATCACACTGGGTTGCCACTTTTTGAGATGAGAAAGACTGAGGGCTCCTGGTGCGAGCAGAAATAGCTGGAAGTTTAGACTTGAGTCTGAAATGTTGAGTTTAACATGCCTATTTAAAAAGAGATGTCAGGGCAGCATGGTTTTGCAGATGAGGGGAGAGTTCTGGGCTGGAATATATCCAATTTGGGGAGTCATCAGCACATAGATGGGATTTGAAGTCATGAGACTAGATGAGATCACCAAGGAAGTGAGTGTAGATGAAAAAGATTTTCCTCCAGCATTCAGATTCGGAAGAGGCCGGAAGTCACCACAGCAAACAACCCTGAGGAGGAAGGTGAGTAGAAAGTCTGGGAAATTGGGTGGTGTCTTGGAAGTCAAGTAAACAGGTTATCACGAAGGAGATAGTGATCCACTACAACCTAGTTCTGAACAAAATTGGATTTCTGTTTTTGTTCCCCCCCAGTGGACCATGAGATGCTCAAGGGCAGGGCTTACTGGTCTCTAGAGGCCGAAAGAAAGCCTGAACTAATTCTTTTCTTGGGTAC